CTGAGCATTGCCCTTGCTACTGCCCTTAGGCCTTCCTTTGCCTCATATCCATCTCCTATGGTGTATCGGTAAACTCCCCACCCATATGGGCCACCAACCTCTTTGGCCTTACGACCCAGGCATTGTGGATGGCAGCAGCCAGGTGGATAGCAGCTGCCGCAACTCCACCATCATCATCTGGGACTGTTGATGAGGAAGGGGAGCGGTGCGGTCCTCAATGGACGTCGTTGTTCGCTGCAATGGACTATGTTCAGGTCAGCCCGCAGTTCGGGGGGTCGGCGATCCTCTGCGAAGTCCCTGCCCGACTTGGAGGGAGCGACTGTGTCCTCACCTGTGCCCCCACCGCTTTACTCGGCCCTTCTTTCTACCTGCCTTGCTTGCCTCACACTCACCGTGTTGTCTGTCGTACCCACAAGGGTCGTAGGTGAGCTCCGCAGAAGGGAGCGCTGCAATGGGCTCCGAATGGATCTTCTTGGTAGGTTTCGCCATGTGCCTCCAAGGCATCATTCTCAGCGCCTCCCCGTTGGCTCGGCTCGGTGCTGTCCTTGAGAGCCGCAACGCTGACGCCATTCCCTTTCCCATATCTCTCAACATGGTCGTAGGTGACGATGATGCCATTCCATAGTCCAAATCTCCGGTCCATGCTGTGTGCTATCAGGTAACGTGCTATGGGCAATGTTTGGTTTTTATGTCAACGACCACGTTATCTTCCTTCCTAGTGTTGTTGGCTACGTAAGTCGACTTTTCCCTTTTTTCATTATAGTGCGCCTCAGACGCTTGGCATGACGCAGATATTGGTCATCTTGTGGTGTTGGGGGTATCTCCCCTACGACCTTGCTTTCCTCAAGTACAACTCCTCATGCTAGCAGCCCTGCAGTGGATACTCGCAGGTTCATCTTCAGCAGTAGACACAGTAGTCCGGAAACGACTATCGAGATGACAGTGCGGGAGAGTGAGCATCCCGAATACATCGACACTGCTGAGGATGGTGCCCACTGTGACAGCGGCGAGGAACCAGGTGGGCCCACCAGATTAGTCTCGAAAACTGACTCGCCTCTCATCGAGGTTGACGATTTTCATTTCCTCAGAAGAGGGCAATTTGAGGGTTAAGGATAACAGCGTGGTGAAATTGACGGACCTAGAGTCGGGTAAGATCTTTTCTTGTCTCCTTATTGCACGTAGTGTTGCCCATCAGGGCCTCTCATTCGGAAGGATAAGAGGTCGGCAACATCGGCAGGTTTGGAGTGAAGTTCCTTCCCCATGGCGGCCCGCTTTGACATATTTTATCCGTTCATTTGTATTACCGTTCTCGACTCTGCGTTGTTGCTCTTGCGTTAGCGGGCATCGCGGGTTGGGTCGTCACCGGGTTAAGACAGCTGTGAAGAACTCAGCATGTCTTCTAGACTGACCACCATCGGCAACCACGTGGCCCCCACTAGCCCCTCCGAGCGGCACACAGTGAAGGACATTCCCGAGCAATACCGACACGGGGGCAAGCTCATCAGCTGGGCCTCTCGATGAGGCCCCTCCCTTTCAGGCACCCTCGTAGCCTTGGCGATCCGTGCCCTGGGCGTAGGCCATATATTTACTCTCACTGGTGGGCATATATCCCCTATTCTGGTCGGCTGTAACGCCGTCGGTATCAAAGTCGTGGACGTACGTCATAGTGCCTTGCCGTGTGGGCTTGGAGGGCTCTTCGCAGACACGTGATGAGAAAGCAGCTGTTTTCGCGGCGGACGCCTATGCAAGGCTGACAGGCAACATCGTAGGTTGGTGCTCCTCCTCCCAGTTGGCCCCTCCCTGTCTCCTAGGGCGTCTGTGCGGTGACTGCTGGGCCTGGTCTCACGAACGCTGTCACTGCTATCGTGAACGCTAGGATGGCCGAAGTCCCAATAGTAGCCCATGACTCACTACAGCGATTCTTTTGACAGCCTTTTCATGATGCTAGATGGTCTTGGCCGGGGCCACGTCTATGATCCTGAAAGGTAGAGGGAGCCTTCAGGATATCGACCAGGGAGCACTGGTGAGGGTCCTCTCGAGATGACTCGGGTGGTCTTCCTGGTAGGTCAAATCAGCTGTAAAGAGCCAAACGACGGTGAAAAGTGTGAAGGAAATAATACCAGCTGTATTACGTGCATCTGAGGTTGCTGGGAGGTGCTCAGGGGCACGACCCTAAGGGGCCAAGTGTCGACTCCGATTCAGTTACAGTCCTGCCCCCGGGCCCGTGTTCCTAGAGTTCCCACTAGACGTACTGTGGCCGAGGTCCATGACTGAGAATAGTAGTACTGCTGCCACCATCGCATTTCCAGCACCGGCTGCTCTCAGTGTTAACCTCTGGTGGGTACCTTTCCCAGGCCCGAGGCCTCACTGCATCGCTGCAACGGTGGTATCTCAACAACTACATCGACTCAATATTCGGGAGGTACTTTGAAGGCTGTTCGCCAGAGGTCGTTCTCCCACCGCGGAGCTCTCATGAACTGGTTCAAGCGGCGAGGCCAGTGCCGAGCCGTAGTGCAGTGGAGGCGACTGTAAAGATGCTGAACGCGGCTAAGCGACCGGTGTGTTAGGTCAAATTTGAGGCGTCTCGTATAGACTATTCCAGGTCATTTTGGTAGGCTCCCAAGCAGCCCAGGACGTAGCTCATATCGAGCAACTACGCGAGGCTCTTATTTTCTTAGAGGTGCTCATGCTGCTCATACCACGCCTTGGACACTTCAGTGTGGTCAGGTCCCAGTGTGGGTCTCGGGGATGTGTCGAGGGCTCTTTGGCAGGAGTGGCAACAGTCCGCAGATGTTGCATATGCGAGGGAAAGCACTGAAGGATGCCGACTTAGTCATCATAGCAGGTGGATCCCATACCGTCCTAGTCGTTGCTTCCAACTACCCCTCAGGCGCTCCGTTGGACTTTCGTCTCAACTATGGGCGAAGCATTGGTAAAGGGGCCGCCCTCGTCGTTTGCAACAGCAACAGGGACCTCTTGAGGAAGAATAGGGACATGCGAACTGCCAAGCTGTGAGGTCAATGGTTTGGCCATCGAATGATTCCTCACAGGTATGTTCACGGTTGCCCGAGTCGGTTCCTCCGCGAGGTAGCCCTGATGGTGACACGGCAGAGTCGGAAGCCATTCTGGACCAAATGGACGGCGACCTGTCATCAGCGTGAAGCGACGCGAGAGAAGGAGATAGCCTCATCGAGTGGCCTCGTCCAGATGTGTATGGGCTCGTATCACCTAACTTTAGACGACTCGCCCTCGGGCCAAGGGGACCGTGTACATCCAGTGAGGTTACTAAAGGCTGTGGACACGTTCTTGCAAAGGTGTGGTACGGAAGCAGTTATTGTGGCGGATGGCGGCGACTTTGTTGGGACAGCCTCGTAAGGGCCTCATCACTGGTCGCTTCTTTATTCACCCAATCCTCGCAGATACTGCGTCAAGCCGGTTCGAGCCCTGGGCTGGCTCGACCCGGGAGTCTTCGGAACCCTGGGAGTTGGTGGCGGCTTCGCAGTAGCTGCTGGTGTACTAGCAGGTAAGTGTCGATGCTAGCTGCTCTTACTGCCAGCCTATCAGGAGAGTCTGCAGTAGAGCCTGTATGGATCCTCTGGGGTGACGGCAGCGTGGCTTGGTCTCTGGCCGAGTTCGAGACGATGAAACGACATAAGATACCCTGCGTAGCTATCGTTGGGAATGATGGCAAGTGGAACCAAATGTGAGGGCGCTTTTCTCTTTCTCTATGAAGCAACACTGAGGGCAGGTATCGAGACCAAGTGCGGCTGTTGAAAGATCCTATCGCAACAGTGCTAGGTGGGCTACTGTACCCAAGCTGCAGGACGCTGGCTCGTCCTCAGGCGCCCACGTTGACTACCACGTAGCAGCCGAAGGTTACGGTGGCAATGTAGGTTTTCTTCTCGAGAAGGAATCCGATATAGAAGATGTTCTGAGTATGGCCCGTACGGTGAGCGTGATGGAAGCCTCTCACTTCAGTTGGCGAGCATGGATGTGTTCAGGCCGCATTGCAGTGTCGTGGCCCAGTACTTATTAATGCTATGTTGTCCAGCAGTGATTTTAGAGAGGGCAGCATCTCTTTATAGCCCATGTTCATTTCGGAATCGTTTTTGATCTCTGGTGTGGAGTTAGTGAACGAGTGTATTCCCAACCCCTTCAACGAGCGCATATACTCGCGGGCAAGATTTGTGCGAAGCTCTGGGCTTGCGGCTGATCTCGTCTAGCAC